AAAGGTATCTTATATTATTAGATATGTTATTATAAAACATGTTTTAGTTAAGGAGTTATTGATACTTCAAGTGCAAAATGATCATATAAAACCTTGATAAAAATACACTTTTAAGTATTAATCAATCAACCTGTGTGTAAAGATATTTATGGACCAAAAAAGAATATATTAGCCAAGGATACATTATAGAATATCAAGAAAGTTTTTAAAGGCAAGGAGCACACATGAAATGTAAATGTATTGTTGAGTGTTATTAAGGTTTTATGCCTATAACTGTTTTTTCATGTTTTGGGAATTACACCATATTTTTAATAAAGTATCTTTTCTATGATATGATTATCATTTCAAAATCAAAAAATGTTTTTATGAAAATAATATTTAGCAATTTATTTTTATCCATAATTGAATAAATATAATGGCAAATTTGCCTAAAAATGGTCTAGTTCTTAAGTGTGTCGTGACATTAGGAGGCAACCCTTACCTTTTTAAAACCTAAAAATCCTTTATTCAGAGCCTTGAAATCTAGCATATCCCAATAAACCTTGACACTTATCATTTTTAGCAAGGCCTCATTAAAGGAAAATTGTGCTCCAAATAATTAAATGCTAAAAATGTTTTAGCAACATGGAATTAATCGTGAATTATGGTTGTGGTTTCACCCATTCCACTACCCTTTCTTTATAAGGTTCTTTATATTACATGAATGAGGATGACATTTATTCATATAGGTAAATTTGAATTTAAGATGAAGATATGCATATTTGATTTATCCTTTACATATAAAAATATATCATTTATTATTTTTTTAACCTTAATAATTTTTTAAACAATAAACCAGACTAGTTCAAACAATCTGATACATTCTTTCTAGTCAAAGTTTCTGATGACTTGATATGAAAATTCTATATAAATGGTAGTTGATGGTGTTTAGAAAGCCAAGATGGATAATAATTGGTAGTTGTAAAAGATTTTCTTTGATGGATGTAAAGACTCTCTAATGCTTAATTCAATAATTTTGTAGAGAGAGAAGTGTGTAATGATATTTTAGAAAGATTAGCTCTTAAAATATATATGCTAAAATTAATAAAAATAAAGAAATTATAAACCTTGAAATCGGTGGATTTATGAGGTGTTTATAGCCCATGAGTTTTGTTCTTTCAAAAATAAAAGAGACTAAAAAATAATTTCACCACTATATATTAATGTGATATTTTAGTTGTATACAACTCAAAAAATATGTATAGGATTAATACAAAATATTAAGGGAACCATGCATGGATTTTGAAAAATCACTAAGAGAATCGCGTGAGGTCATATAAAAATCCTAATAGAGTATTGGGCTTAGAGAGCATGCTTGAGCCTATGAGAGTGTTAGGGTGCATGCTCAGTAAGGCAATAGTCATGCACCTATTACCCCAACAATAATTAGGTTCAGGTGCCACTAATACCCCCAATAATAATTAGGTCTCAGTGTAATGCCTAGACCTAATTAATACAAGCAATAGCCTAGGCTTATTTCACTTAGTGAAGGTTTTTAAACCCATTAAATTTGAGTTTTTTTTAGAGGTCAAGCCAGTTAAAATTAAATTTATTAGTAACCATCCTTGTCTTTATGATATTGATAAACAAAGAATTGTAAAAACTCTGGGCATTATGAGTTTATTGAGTTTTCTTCATATGAGAAGAGGGGTGGAAAGCCATGAGATTATTTATCGGAAATCTTGTATGTAGGGGCGCGCACCATGTTTGAAGAAATTTTCAAGTATATAGAGGGGAACCATGAAGAAATCAATATTTAGAAAAATATTTAGGAGAATGAGGTGACATATAAAAGATTCTATACTTAGAAAAAATTTCTAAAAGGTCATGGGAAACCCATGAAGAAGAAACACATACTTAAAAAAAAATTAAGTGACTAAGAGAAAACCATAAATGGTGACTTTATACTAGAAAAAATTTTAATAGGTTGAGAGGAACATGTGAAAGATCGTTCTATGTGATAACACGAGGCTCAAAAGTCATGTACCAATCTGAGATTGTATTGGAGCAAAAAAGAGAGGCTTGCAGGTTCTAAATCAATGGTAAAAGGGCTTAGGAGCTCATCATTAAGGATAAATCTCATCAAAGAGTGAGAGATCTTTAGATTTATTAATGATGACATACGATTTTGAAAGTCTCCCACTAGAAAATGATCAAATTAGAGTGGAAAAGATATATGACCTTCCTTGCATTATTACGGGGTATAAGAACCCCTCGTTGAAGAGTGGTTATACCTAAAAATAAGAGATATAAGATTATCATTAAAGACAACTTAGGTCTTGAAATTTTATTGATAAATCATGTTAGTCTAAGACTGTATTAGAAAGCATAGAATTCAAGATTAACCTATGACAAATTTATAAGAAAATGTTTAGCATCACGTAAATAATATGTAATTCTAAGACTATACTGGAGAATAACAAATCTAAGATTAACCGCTAATAAATTAATGAGCGGGTCTTAGACATTATCCAATATAGCGCTTAAACACAATTAATTGGGCCGTGGACGGACACTCATTATTAGGGGCCATTTCAATTGACAAAGAATTTTAAACCTGTTGAATTTGAATTTATCATAACTAGTAATTATATATATATATATATATATATATATATATACACCCACTACATACTACACATCT